CATTATTAGTGACACGATCATGAATATTGTCAATGTTAGTGCCATAATCATCGAAGTTGTCGCCATTAGAGCCGCCACCATTTTCACTACGACTCGATCTATCCGATCCACGAGGCATAACTCTAGAATAACATCCGAAATAGTTTAGCAAATACAACAAATGAATAACAATTTGACTAAAAATATATTATAATTTTTTCATAAAAAAAAAAAATCAACATAGTCTCCCCTGTAAATTGGATATTTCTTTATTACCGAAAGTACCACTCGTATAAAATTCAACACTTCTAAAATGCACAACAAACATCTAAAAAATGAATAATTTTCCTAAACATTAACAAAAATTTGACGGAATCTCTCCACTAAATTACATCTTTCGTGATTAACAAACACTCCAAATAATCATACAAATACTGAAATTAAATCAACTAACTATCAATTTGTGCACACCGAGATCGGTATTTATCTCGGATACTCCATCAAAATTAAATCTCAAACTCATCATCCCAACTCTATTATAGAGCATTAAATCAATCTTATTTCTCAAGGGTTTCCAACCCTTCGGGTTCGATACGTTATGACGTATCTCAGGCACACTTCAATATTTATAAACAAAATAATCGAACTCAAATTCAAACTTAATTAAATTTAACTAACAATTAATTAATAATTTCTAATACAAATAAAATTAAAAATCAACTAATTAATCAAATTTAACGTAATTAATTAATTAATCCTAAATCAAATTAACCTAATTAATTCTTATTCAAATCTAGTTAAATTTAAACCGAAGTCAAATTAATCCTAATTCAAACCTAATTAAATTTAACTAATAATTAATTAACAATTTTCAATACAAATAAAATTTAAAATCAACCAATTAATCAAATATAACATAATTAATTAATTAAACCAAAATCAAATTAACCTAATTAATTCTAATTCAAAATTTATTAAATTCAAACCTAATTAATTTAACTAACAACTAATTAACAATTTCCAATAATTTAACCTAATTAATTAATTAAACCTAAATCAAATTAACTTAATTAACTCTAATTCAAACCTAACTAAATTTAAACCTAATTAAATTTAACTAATAATTAATTAATAATTTCCAATACAAATAAAATTAAAAATCAACCAATTCATCAAATTTAAACTAATTAATTAATTAAACCTAAATCAATTCTAATTCAAACCTAATTAATTTTAAACCTAAATCAAATTGACTCAAATTTAAACCTAATTAAATTTAGCTAACGAGTTTTCAATCCAAAATAAAATTAAAAATCAACCAATTAATAAAATTTAACCTAATGAATTAATTAAAACTAAATTAAATTAACCATAATTCAAACATAATTAAATTTAACTAACAATTAATTAACAATTTTCAATATAAGAAAAATTTTGAAATCAACTGATTAATAAAATTTAACTTACTTAATTAATTAAGGCTAAATAAAATTAACCCTAATTCAAACCTAATTAAATTTAATTAACACTTAATTAATAATTTTCAATACAAATAAAATTAAAAATCAACCAATTAATCAAAATTAACCTAATTAATTAATTAAACCTAAATCAAACTAATAATTAATTAACAAATTAACCTATCAATTAAAAAAATATAATTTAACAAATTAATCACCAAATTAATTATTAAAACTATACAAAATTATAAATCAACAAATTAAATTTATAATTAACCTAATAATTATAAAAATAACTAACGTTTAAGGAACAAAAGAGAGATAAAGAACTTACCTAATTCGGATAAGGAAGAGATGGAGAGGAAGAAAGGAAAATGAGGGTTTTTTGGAGAAAAAGAGAAGCAAGTCTACCTTCCGTCTTTCCCTTCGACGGAATAAGAAAAGGGTCAATTTATTTTGAAATAGAAGCCATGTTTTCTCAATAGGGAAATGTTGCCACTGAAAGACCCTTGGCACACCTCAAATAGTCTCGATTTCTAATAATGGGTGTGGATTGATGGGGTAGTAAAGGAGTGCGGTTTTCGATGGTTTTGAGTGAGGGAAGAACCAACGAGCTGGAGGAGGAGAAGGAGGAAGAAAAAAATAAAGGAAGAAGAGATGTAATTAGGGATTTAGACTAACAAAGGATGAGATCTTGTTGCTATTTAACAATGAACGTAAGTGTCCATTGCTAACCTATCATTAAATGGGTGGCATTTTAACTTTAAAAGGCCATCTATTTTATTTAGAACCAATGACAAAAACATTCCCATTGCTGATTCATTGCAATTTAGCTATGGAAACTTAATATCCGTGGTTTTTCATCATTAAATAAATGACTTTTTAACTAATGGGCTTCCAAAAGACTGTTTATCTTTTTAGATTTAGTGAGGGATTTCATGCTTTAGTGAAGGAATAATATCCTATCGTTGATTTTTGTAACCAGTTCATCGCTAATCCTTTCCTAAATTAGCACTTCAAATAGCGATGAAATTTCATCAATTGCTGATAAACTATATCAAATCGTCGTATTACCAATTTATTAGTATTTATTATGTTTTGTTAGACACCTATTACCAATAAAAATTCTTATCTTAAAACAAAATGCTTGTAAAAAAGAAAAAAGAAAAAGAAAAACTCGTGGTTGAGAAAGTTAGAATTGCAAAAGTCATTAACGTGTATATGAGAATACGTGTTAATTACTCTTCAGTCTCAGTGTCGGCTATTCTCTCCCTTTCTCTTTGAACAGTGACAATTAAACTTCCTCAAACTATTTCTTTTTAACAAATAAAAATATTTAATGCCAAAATAAAAGATGTCAAGAAGAACAAAAGACTTCGAACACGTAATTGGTGTTGAAGTATTATTTTTGCATCATATATATGCAACCAACTAATTAACCAGAGAATATCACATAATTATGGACTAACAAGTAAGTAAACATTAATAAGCTCATAGAAATTTAATTCCCAGGATAATTACCATGGCAAAACCATGTGTCATTTGTGACTATATATATATATATCTTTTTTCTACTTAGGTTGTCCATAAAAGCTACAAAGACCCAAAATAAAATGAAGCCTGATAAAAACAAAAGCATTTACATCCACTCCTTTCTATACATTTCTATCTGAACTTGGAGAAAGAAACTTTGCTCTCCCCCTTGTTTTCTGCCACCTGTTTTAGAAGAGCCACTGGTTTCTGTCTTTTAAAACTGTGTCATTGTCTTGTATCTTTCACTTGTTTGCTTGTAGAATCCCCGACGTCACTTTTGGATACCCTTTGATGAGTATTATATTAGGCCAAGAAATTATTAGACATGCATGTATGTTCTTATTCTATATATTCTTCCTTGGATCAGACAAAATCTACCTGGAATGGCCCATCAATCGCCAGTATTGATTTGATTGATGATAAAATATAACTTTTTAAGGCTATTTTTTTTCTAAGGATAAAGATCTTATTCTTTTTTTACTTCTAATATATTTCATTTTCTTGGATTAGACAAAATCTGGTTTGAAAATAAGTCATAAATTAAAATCAAAAGGTAGATGACACATGAATTTATTCATCCCATCCCATTGCATTCCATTTAGGAGCTGAGTTAAGAAGGTGTAGTAGCTAGGGTAAAATAAAAGGAAACCGATGTGAAAAAATATTTGGATGAATATAAAGACAAATTAAAATAATAGAATAAATGAACTTGTGAAGGAGCCTAATTGAAAAAATAACTTAAAGGTGAGGGTCAAGATTAACTTTTTTAAATCACCTAATTAAAATAATTTCAACATATAAGGGTCAAAGTTAACTTTTTTGAAAAAGCTGGGGCCACAGCCACTTGTGACAAGCGGTAGTGCCGCCCCTATGTGTTTATAAATCGTTGAGTTAACCATATTTACACCCAAGGGTATAGATTTAGCAATGCTGCACTTCATCAATTATAGTTTAAAATTTCTCAATATCATCTTTGATGTTTTAAGATCGTTTCAATGTAGCCCCTAACTATTAAATGATCACTTTCTCCACCCTTTTCTTTCTTCTTTTGGTGCTTTTCTTTTATCTTTCTCCTTAAAATCCTTGAATATATGATAATACCAAAAATTTCTTATAAAAAATAAAACAAATTAATTCAAAAAAATAATTTAAAATTTGGCATTTCCATTAGGTTCCCTTGCATGTTTAACGGTAAGGAACTATACAGGGACTTTTAGAAACATTAGGATTGACATTGAGAAATTTTCATACCATAAGGGCCAAAATGGCATGTTACTAAGTCCACAGGACTTAAAATATAGGTTACCTAAATTATTCGTGGACGATCTGGATTCAAGGTCCCCCTTTTTTCTTTTTCCTTTTTGTCATCATTATTGTTTATATATATTTTGCCTCCTTTTATTGTACAGACTAGATTCGATGTCTATCTAACAGCCTGAACTAATGACAATTTTACACGTATCCGGTGGACACAATTATTTGTCCTTTTAACGTCATGGTCCAAGTTTAGCATCATACCTTAATTAACTAACCATTTTGAAGCAAGTCCCACCAAATTATAACCACTTCCACATTAATTAGTATTGAGCAAACCCCAACCCTGCAGTCTTTTTCTTTCCTTTTTTTTTTTTTTGTCAATCCATGGCTGCAAGCATTCTTCAATTGTAACTAGTTTTAACATTATTATATTTTTTCTCTTTTAGCTTTTAAAGGCTTTTGGTAAAATTCTAAAATTATTTTAAATATCAGAAACCATAAAATGAGTTTTTTTTTCTGGTTTATTGAATTTTATTTAAGAGATAAAAGTATTTTAAATAATAAATATAGCCGTTAAAACAATCATGACCGCGCCGAAAGCTACACCTAATTAATTAATGTAATCAAATTGTATTATTTTTGCAACATCTTGGTGATATTACATTACGAAAAGTACCAAAACCGAAGCTGTTAAGATAAAAAAACAGAAAAAATCTGTGTCAAAATCAAAATTAGGACCCCTAGGTGGTAGCAAAAAAGCTCAGCAACAATTTATGCCCATGCTAGCCTAGAGAGCTGATTGGACAAGCCAGACCCACCAGCCAAACCCCTTCTCTTGGGCTCAACCATCGGAGGTACCCACATGCTGCTACACCCATGATGTGAGCCACTTTTAGCTTCCCTATTTTCTCTGCTGCTGTAACCAATGTTATTGGCATTACTGACTTTGCAACACCTAGATAGCCATTTGGACTGCATGTATGTGCTGGTCCTCCATGGGGGCACATGGAGCCCTCTCTCTTTAAAAGACTGCTTGGCAGCTGAGCAGAGCAGAGAGATTACTTTGTTGAGTTTGTCTTCACTGCCAACAAAAAATAATGGGAGTGTGTCTGTTAGTTCTTTGTAGAATGGTGTTGGTCTTGCCAGTTCAAATTGGGATCTAAAGTCCAGGTCCACTATCAGCCTCACTCTGTCCCCGTTCTCATCTTTCAATGCGATTTCAATGTACTCATAATCACCTGTTAAACAGGAGCATTAAAGAAGAGAGTTATTTCCCACAAACACAAATACATGAGATTCACAAAATTAAATTTATTTCCCCTGGACTCCACACCATGTACCTAAGAGCCAGTGCCTTGTTTCCAAGATCTCCAAAAGATAAAGGGTACTGCTTGTCAACAACAAGCACCCTTTTCAGAGTGTAGTTACAAGGCGTGCCTGACTTTTTCAGATTAAGAAGAGATCAAATTTCTCTCTGTTGGAATATTTTGGCAAATACCAAACAAAACTGTTTGAATCTATTTACGAAAAGAGTTATTTAATTTCAAGAAACAACATAATTGGTATCCTCACGTTCTTGATCACAAATAAAACAATTTTTTTTTTAAAAAAAAAAACTAATTTGATCGGACAAACATCAAACTAGATAGGCTAGACACTTCTATCCAAACAGATACTTGCAGGGATGTGCTAAAAGGAAAAAAAGAGAGAGAGGGAGAGAGAGAGAAGTTAATTGTAGCCATGAAATGTGCGTGGATGTGTGCGTGGAGAGAGATCAGAGAGAGAGAGACCCACCAGCAGGGCATCCTGAGGAAGTGACCCAAGAAGTCTGACAAATGGAAGCATTGAAACCATCCATTTTCAGCCTCATCACAAGCCACGTCTTCATACTGGTTGTTTTCTCAGCATCATTTTTGCTTCTCATATGCTTCAGTAGAGTCTCAAGAACTTCGGTCTCAGCTTCTGTTACTCTCCCAAGTATCTCCTAACCAACACAAGATCATAAAAACAAAAACCCCATAAGCTCAGGAGAAACACATAGATAAACACAAAGCCAGACAAAAACAACAAAGAATCTTTCAAAACACACAAAAATATTTAAGGAAATGGTACCTGTAAAGTGAAATACTTGGCTTGGTTGATTGGAAAACGGTTTGAGGAAGCAGGAAATATGGGTGGTGTTGATGATTCTGATTCTATGAAGTCACGTACCATTTGAACCAGCCTTTCCTCTTCTAAGCTACCCATCCCTCTGAAGTTTGAACTAGAAAAACTTGATGAAGATTTTATCCTGGATTTTCTTCCTCCTTTATAGGCTATGTGGGTTCTTGAAAGTCTTGCTTTTATAGCTAGTGCTGAAATTTTACAGCCTTATAAGGATGACAGATGAGGTCACCACAGCAGGTGGCAATATATCTCTATGAAGTGAAGTTTATCCAGAGTAATAATATATGGTAAATATTGCTAGCACACTATAAATAGTGGGGAATAATAAAAGAGGATATCCTATCTTTTGTAGATTTAAAAGGCAATGAAAGCGACACTGAAATATTGTCCTGTTCCAGTTGTCCTGACCTCAGACGCAGACCTTAAGTCTTTAAGTATCTTTTAAGTAATCGCATACGTAGTACACTGTAAAGTGGGTTAGGGCATTTATCTCTCCCTGGATAGACACTTATGGTCTCTATTAGGGCCTGATTACTGATAAGTTACTCATGCTTGCCCTATGCATAATAGCGTTGAACCTTATGGAAGATGGTCAAAAGTCCACAAGGTCTTCACGTGCATTGTGGCACGTACAGCAATTGTTCCCAAAGATTTTGCTTACTGTAGTTTTTGGATTTTGCATGTACTAGGTATTTGTCAGTATTATTAACCTGGGACTTAGTTTGGATCTTGTATGTATTATTTTAGAAGTTTGTCAGTAATAATCATCTGGAAACTAATAGACCTTATTATATAAAATATTAGGCAGTTGATAAAGACTAGAAGGCGTGCTAGTCCAGAAACGCCCATGTTTTGAAATTTTTGTAACGTTTCCTATCAGAATGAAACTGTTGTTTTGAAGTTTAGGGCATGGGTTTTGGTGGGATTGGCAAATCGCACGAGCTAGATTTCGTCCCATGAGAATGCTAGAAATAAGGGAGACTCCAACAATTGATTATATATTGGATTTTGTGACTTTATAAATAACGAGAAGGGCTAAATTCCCAGCAAAAACAAGATGATACCTGAAATTGATGTATTAGTATATCTTGTGGGGGACTGGGACTGGGAGTGAATGAATAGCAGTGCCCATCTCTGTACGCAATCATGAAATTTTTGGCATTTCAAGGTTGAAATGACAAGCATGTTTTGAGAAATTATGCAGAAGACTTGATTGTAAAATAAGCCCTAGCAGAGAAGCAGTTTTAATTGGTGAGCTTCTATTACCATGTCAAAATTAATGAACCATTGTTAGCTGAAGTCCCACACAGTTAACACAAGCTGTAGGTTAAGTTAAGGTGTCCTCACCTATTCAGGAAAATGAACCCAGGTCCATAATGCAATACTTACGAAACTTTTAGAATGGTCTTTGTAGTCTGTCTCAACTATGCAAAATTCAACTTGTAAGTTCCAACCAAAAAAAAAAAAAAAAAAGTGTTTGTAATTCCATCAATAGAGTGCAAAGAACTGATCTTCCGACTCACTGAAACATAAAGTTCAATAATTCAGTTAAGCGAACAAGAATTCTGGTAGAGAGAATGGTTGCACAATTTTGACATTCTGTACAAACCGAAATATGCACAATTTAAAAACTTAAACAAATGCAGTTACTACATTTCACCTGCGATGAAACTGGTGTAAATACTCAATATCTAGTTTCAGTCACCTATAATTGTCAAATATCTAAGATCAGTAAGCTGGAAATGATCTTTCTATTTAATGCTGAGCAGCAAATCGAATAATTGAAACACAGCTTTAGATGCCCAACTTGAATCTGCCTCTCAAACATGTACAACCCTGAAACAAAAGATTCATCTCCTTCATAATTTAACAAAACGGGAACCCTTGTATGGAAGAATAAAGCATCATAAGGAGAAAAAATAATAATGACATTGTAACATGGCCAAGATCATGGATGCCAGAGCATCCTGCAGCCTATTTGGTTACCAGTTTACATATTCCAAGTTGAAAAACTCGGTGTAGATTCTCAAAACCAACTTCAGAATTATATTTTAACTTTGATAGGAGGTTTGGTTTATTTATCTTTTCCCTTTTTCTTTCCTTCTCAAATAGAAAGTACATTTCACATAAAAGATGGGGAGCACCTCGGCTAGAAAATGTTATTCTGTTTCAAATTTGAAATGATTTTTTCATCTAAGGAAATTCTAGCTAGCAAAAAAAAAAAAATTCATACCTCCTAAAACAAAGGGAAGCAACTAGAGTGCTGATGCAGTCCAAAAGGATTCTTATTGTCAGTTTAGATGAAACACCAGTAGTAGCAACTTGAAAACCATCTCGTTAAACCTGAAAGTAATGCATCAAACATGCATAGTCATGAGGAGATATAAAAATAAGTGAAACCAAGATGTCCATGAATACATGGAAGTGAAATGGAATGAGAATTTAGAGATTATACAACCCTTTCAGTTATGCCAAATGAATTGGCTGCTGTCAAGACTTGAGCCTTCAAGCCTTATGATTCCAAGAAATGGCCTCTGTAATGCAAACATTTAAGCAACTATCAAGGGCATTCACATCAAGATCTTGAGTAGCTTTGATGAAGAGGCAGTAGATCCAGCGGCTTAAGAAATCTTTGGAAATACAACACAAGTTTCATATGCATAGGAGGCCCACATGAGCTTCGAAGAATCCCTTTGAATTACCCATGGCCAAATGTAATATCTCACGAATCAGATCACAAGTGGAGAGTCAGAACGTAAAAACCAAAGTGCATACAGAAAGATATGTCAGTAGAATTTCAAGAATTGCACCAAGCATTTATTAAGAGAACAAAAACAATAATTCAATGAAGACGAAAAGACAGAAATTATTCAGTAAACAAAATGCCACAGAATCCTCCATGAAACCAATGATCAAGCTATATTTCCATGGATATGAAACTTACTTTAACATGAGAGCCAGCTATAATACTAGCTTAAAAAGTAAGATGACACAATCTCATTTGCAAAGTACTATGAAACCCAATTAAAGAACAGAATAGATAAAATACTACATGACACCAAGCAAGTTAGGGGCATAAATGACAGCCAAAAAAGTTTTACAGAATGTCTCCAAGACAAAAATCAACAGTCAAGTTTTTGCATATTTTACACATCCTGCAGTAAAATATAAGAGATGGATTGATATTACTTATGAATTGTAAATGTTGTGAGTTGAACATGAGTTGATAAGATACACGGTAAAAGCCTCTGCAATAAAGCATTCAATACATTGTTATAGTTCCAACATGGATGGGTCAAACTGAACCATAATTGGGGCAGACAGAAAATATAGCATCAATACGTAAAGCAACTTATTGCAATACTTGCTTTTCTAAAGATTATGAGCCAGCAAATCATAAGAAAGGTGAAATACATAATTTAAAAATTTTTAGCTAGTGAGATGTCCAATGGGGGGTAAAAGAAAAAAAAAAACCACATGCATGGGTAGTGTTTAAATGAAAATACTTTGTGAAGGACCCACAAATTATTGAGGAGGCCATGGAATGAGTAACAGATAAAAAGAAATAACTTCTATTGAAATCTGTATTACAAAAAATGTTCCTTAAAAATATTCCTAGGACATAAAAATTTCTCCATATGCTAAATTCCAAGGAAAGTTTCTCTCCTGCTCTATTTTTGTCATGGTCTCAGAAAGGCCAGCTCTACATCATAAATTACTATAATATCCCATGGATACATTAAAAGAAATGCTTTTGACTCTGCAATAGCAATGACTAAACTGTGAAATAAAACGCCAGATGAGAAAGGATCTAGCAGGATCCAAAATTGCATCCCAGTTCTGTAGGATTGTTAGATATCTATAAGTTTTCTCAAACAAAATGTTGAGTAGGGTATTCATGCTCATATCCATTATAATCATAGTATAGCCTCTCTCCTTTAGCAATATCACGAGTAGCAACCAAAATGACCCGGCATTCCCCATTTACATCGTATCTCACACATTTACAATTCTGCTTCTTCTTACCATCCCTGCACAGAATTGGATATAACTTAAGCTTAACAGAGGATGGAGTGATAATTTCTATTTCAGATACAATTTTGGCACAAAAAATGATTAATTTTATATGTGAAGTAGTCAAATAGCAGATGTGAATGGGCAACATGCGTTGTACAGAGCAGAAGACATAACAATGAAAAAGTCTAAGATGGGTCATCATACAACAGTATGATCACAACAGTATTTGCTTATACATATATATATATATGCACTACACAGAAGAGAAGAAATGGGTTAAGCAGGCTTACGAAGTATGATTGTTAATGCCATTGATAAAGCGTGCAATATTTCCACGTTTATCAGGACAGATGACAAGGCTTTTAGATGGGTCTCTTGCCAAAAGAAGGGTCATCATACTATCACAATCATCATGTTCCCGGTTTTTGATATAATCCACATCACCAGAGTATTCTGCTAAAATGGTCAAATCCTTTATCTGGTCATCTGCCTCAACTGTATATCTGCATCACAGAATAGACATGAACCAACTCAAATATGCAGTACCCAGATATAATTCCTAGCTCAAGAAATTTGCTAAAGATGCAAGTACCCTTCACATGAATCAAAAACCACTAAAAGAGGAGGGCATTCGCCCCTTTTGCACATAGCTCTGCACTGTTCCAATGTCTCTATGTCCTCCTTGGAAAGGACCTAATAAAGGCACCAGACAATGCAAACATGTAATACAAAACAGCAAAAAAGGATTGGGAAAAAAAAAAGCTTTAAAAGAGAAGTTTTTATTCGGACCTGCATGCCACCCTGCTCAAACTTGGCCTGATTGGCTGATTGAGGAGCCATGCCAGGCAGGTAAGTTAAATCATCACTAAATTCCATGTGCAATGCTGTTAAAGCAGAAGCAAGGGTGCTCATTTGTTTCAACCTTTGGGCTGGATCTTCTGATGGAATAAATGGCAACAGTCTCCTTCTTTTCTTTTGATACACCAATGAACGTCTCCGGCGCTTTCTAGAGTCTTGAAAACAACTCAGAGAAGGGAATAATGTCAACTTTACGTCAGCAAATCTAATCCAACTAGGCTGTGCATATTAGCACTAACATTTCTTGACTTCAAAGGGAAAGTTCATATGCAATAAAAAAGCAACAAAACAAGCAGTAATAGAAAATTATGGCTTCAAAGGTGCATGTAGCAAAAGCCCGGCAATGATGATGAAAAAAATTGTGATAGCATTCATGCAAACTAAAAAGCAAAAATAGATCAGACAAAACGTAAGTAAATGACAAGGGTCCATACTTTTGTGCCATGAAAATTCAAACATTTAGGAGAAACAATCTAAAGGAAGCAATAAAATAATTTGACAAAACAGCAACTTCCAGCATTACAATTTTTAACTTTTATCGAGGGCTTTCGCTTTTTCCATTTTACAAAGATAAGAAGGATTTTTAGTAAGAATTTAGAAATTTTCATACTTATATGGTAATCATATTGTACATTCACCACAGCGAATTTGATTTTCTAGAAAACTTATTCTTAAAGAAGGGTTTTGAGAATATATCATAATTCATAAGTTCGATGCTTTATTAAGGGAAACATCATTACATCGATACATACTTAATGTTTGGCTGAAAATAATGTCATGAAAAGAAAAGGTTGTTGTTGTCTCTCTAATATGTTGCAGTACCAGCTAATAAACACATCATAAATGTTTTTGGGTAACCAAGTACTATAATCCTTTTTAACATAAACTGTGGCAAAAATGGTAATGCATATGCATCATAATCAAATTCCGAAAGAATAGACAGGTGTATACATAAATACACACATTCAATGTATCTGTGTAGTCACATAACATAGCATCACTGATCACGCTCAAGATATTGATCCCGCTAATTTAACACATACATGGGCAAATGCTGATGCAAATAAAATGTAATTATGTCAAATTTATGACTTATGTAGTATTCTAAGACACAAAACATAGTAATGAGGCATGAGTTTGCTGATTAAGACATGAATGTTTTTAAAAAATGCCGAGTATAAAGCTTGATCTTCCCCAAACCATGTGATTCGACATGTAATGCAAAGATTTGCCTGTTCTACAAAGTAATTGTCTAATAGACTTATCTGATACGTGATTAGATTGCTTGCTGACCCTAAACCTAAGTCATGCCAAGGATACATTGCTCATTTAAGAAGCAATTTATCGTTTTGCTTCAGTAAACTCTAATCCTCAGTTAACCCTATTTAGTATTATTTTTTAGATTAAGAGGGCTTGATTAACAAATGTTAAAACTATTTTCCCTATACGAACCACCATCAGTGTCATTGTTGCTGCTGCAACAACATTTTCAAATCTTTTATGCCTATAAAATTTCACCCTTGACATCTATTCCCTCTATACCTAAACAAATGCCCATCTTTTAGGCTTTAAGAATGGTAGAATAAAAATGAAGTCCATTGTTCTATTCTACCAGCTTTGAACTCACTCCGTTTGTTAAAATTTTTATCCTTAACATATAATTCATGTTAACGATGAAGGAAAAATAGATATTTCCCACAAATTAAAATCAACTAATTTTTTTCTTTTTTTACGACGACAATTTGGGTAATAAAAAGAATCAAATTTTAGACCATTTTTACTATCTTAGCAGTCTCTGTGCTGCTAATACTTATACAATAGTCATAACAGTTTATAATACAGTGAAACTCTAGTCCTTTGATACTGCATTACCACTTTGTTGGTTCTAAACGTATCAGGACTAACCGCTGAAATCTCAGGTGGATTACCCATCATTTTGTATTCGTAGCATTTATTATCTTGACAAATACACCAAAATTTTGCTACATCCAGAATCCATCCCAAATGCTACCCAAGAGCTTAAGTCAACTGAGCATAATATGTTCAGTGGATATGAGATCTTAAAATCGATACATTGATGATTAGAATTAAATGTAAGATCAGTAAAAAGAGAAGCAATAACTATCCTGCTCGAAATAATATGGACAATCATAAACAACACTGAAGTTCAGTCACGTGTGTTGGAATCTTTTTATAAGATGTGAAATACCTCAATGGTTTCTATATTTGATCTAAGTTAGACATCTCTACATTTGGCAACGTTCATTAGCCAAAAAAAAAAAAAAAGAATTTCCCCTTATGCAAAATTAAACAACTTTTCGCGCTAAATTGAAAGACATAGAGCTCCTTGCCGCGCTTTAAGTTACATAGTGAAATTCATAAAATGTCCTAACGTTAGTATTTCCAAAACTTCCTATGAGCTTGATCCTAGCCAAAAAAAAGTCCATTTGTTTTACTTTTTATCATTTTATCAAAAAAATCTTCTTCATTTTCTCTCTCCCTCGTTTTGTGATTTTATAGTTTGCGATTCTTTTTGCTCATGTCCTTGCTATTAGTTTCTCTATTACTGATTTTGTTAGTATTTTTTATTTTATTCCGTTATGTTTTTTTAGGTTGGAAGGGCACAATTCGAACGGTATTCCTACCCTATCCCACAACACTCATTAAACAGTACCATTGATCTAAACTCTCCAGAATCCCTGATGTGTTGTTGTTATTGAAAAAAAAAAAAAAGAAGATTTGAACCCAGGCCATTTTTAACTTCTAGCAGAGCTTTGTTGCATGCAAAGCCTGAAACAAGTTCAATCACAATCCATCAAAAACATCAATAAAAAAAATCGACAAATCACAAAAACACACTCGAAACAAATAAATAACAAGACTAACAATTAATAATAATAATAATAATAAAAGAATCACCTTGGAGAGACCTGCATTTCTCTTTAATATCATCCTTCTTATACCTCTGAATCCTAAAAAAATCAATGATCTTCTTCTGCGATAACCCTAACACAGAAACCAAACCAATCAAAACGCACATTTGTTTCTCACAAAACGGCACCACAATCACCAGAAAAAAAATTCAAAAAAATAAAATCAAATCAAATTCCCCTACTTCTTACACGTCTCTGGCCATCTCCAGAGCACTTGTTACAAATCCACGAGCCAATCGGAACCCTAACAACAATCGGTCTCAAGCACTTCATGTGATATCCTTTATCACATTTATCACACAACAACAGCTCCTCCGGTCGTTCCCCGGTGCGACATTGTTCGCAGATGACATCGCCGTAGTCCTCCCTCTCAACCACCGCATGCGCCGCCTTCTCCAGTATCTCCGTCAACAGTTTCATCCTCTTCGGCGGCGGTGAAGGCGGCGGAGACGGCCTCCGAGGTGCCGAAGTGCGATGGGGAGAGCCGATTTGGCGCCTAGCCGCCGTCGTCGTGGTGGAGTCTGGGGGCATTGGTAAATTGGGAGATGACCGAGGTTAGAATCGGAATTCTAGAAGGAAATTTGGCGTTCGTTTGTTGCACTGGAGAAAGAGAGGAGGAAAGAGGTTGTCTTTTTGGTTTTTTCTAGTCGCGGGTAATGGCCAGAGATGCTAACGTGCGCATCGTCTATGCACAGAATTTGATGCAACGCCCGTTACGGGGTTTTGGAATTTTATAGCCGTTTGATGTTCGAATGACAGGACTGACCTGACCTTGTTAGACATTTGGTAAGTGTTAGGTTAAGAACGAAGAACCTCAGATTTTGTTTCTAATTAACATATCAGGTTGGAATGTGATGCGTATGGGAACTTCAGAATTATTATTATCATTATTTATTTATTTTTTGTCAAAAATATTGGCTAAATCTGATATTTGTATTTTGTGTTTTAACTGATTCCTCAAAAAAAAAAAAATTGTATTTTATTGATTTAATCAATTGAGCACCTGTTCTTTTAATTTCAGCCAATTAAATACAAATTTTTAAAATTAAAAATTTAACTCAGTTAATTGATTTTTTTTTTTTACATGATTAATTATTATCAATTTTCTTTCCATTCCTATTAATATCATCACACATACAAATTATACTAAATTGAATGGAATCTAAATCTAAGTACTTAACTGACCAAATTTTACCACTAATAAATTAACATATTATTTTATATTGAATTTTAGCATAAAACTTTGTTTATAAATCATTTTTTATACAGTATATACTATGTATTATTTAGTACCAATATATATATATATATATATATATATAGCATCCCTAGCATTTCTTGTATATGACATATGAATGTTGGAGATAAAAACAAAATGGATGTAGGTAAATCATTCCCTACACCAAGTAAACTTAAGTCACTTAACTAATAATTCATGAATTACACACTTTAATTTTTTTATGGATCCGTATTGTGTTAATATATATATTATGTTGCTAAATATTTAGTATTTAGTTGTTATATTAAAAATATTATATTTTTACTTGAAAAAAATGAAGGATACTGTGATAAAGCTGTCTTTTTTTTAAAAAAAAAAAAAAAAAAGGCATGGAACATCATGTTTTAATTTAAAAGTAAAGCAACTCCATATATATTAGATTGTCATATTGTGATTTGCTTTCAGAGCAAAACAGAGCTTAATAAAATATTTTCTAAGACCAAAAACAGTGTGCTTTAAAAATACATCAATTAATACAGAAAAACGTTGAATTTGAATTTAAATTATCTACAATCTATTGCTCTAATTCTAAAAAGGGAGCCTAAATTTAGTAAGTGGATAATATTGTTAGGATTCGGATTTTTGCTTCAAAAATTGCAGGAAATGTTTCTTAAGAATAATAATGTTCTATAAACTCACTCAGATTTTATGACAAATGAAGAAATTGAAGTAGATTTTCTTTTTTAGGGCTATATTATATTTGTTGTAGTATTATAATTACATTTTTTTTTTAAAAAAAAAAAGATCTTTTTTTTCCCCCTGTAATTAGGAGGTTCACTGCTAGATATAAGTAGCTGGTCACACAATGAGATATCCTCCATCATCTCTAAATTTCACGCCCCGGCCCTTTGTCATAAACCTGAGACCTTCCAGTAAAAATCCAAAGTTATAACTTGATTATCCATCCCCTCAATTTGTGAACTAAAAGAAAAAATATACTCTTACTTTAATTAGCGAAAGATTTCTTCATGACATAGTTAGTGTATATAAATTGGAATATTGGTTTTTACTTTTTATTTTATTTTGAGATATAAATTTTAGCTTAAATATAAATGTCATAACCCCAATTTTGACCCTCCACTTATTTTAGATTATTACTTGGATTTTTGTCCGTGCTATGCTCTGCGGATATGATAAAATATATAAAAGCTTTAAGAAAAATTATTTTAGTTGGATAGTTTGTTTTATGATGTGAATGTATAAAAATATATGAATTCAAAAGTAAAAAAAATATTTAAAATTTTTTAATGTAATTTGAAATTAAATGGATGAGAATTTTAAAAAATGACAAATTAAAGTAGTAAATTTAAAATAATAAAAATAATCAACAAAAAAATTTCATTTAAAAAGTAAAAAAAATAAATTATTGTATAAATTATAATGATATATTTAAAAAATAAAACATCGACGTTCTAAAATTTCATTTCAAAATTCATATATTAAAAAAATAAAATTATATGAAAAAATTATTTTTATGTGAATTTTAATAAGAAATAAATAATTAAAAAATTAAATTTAAACAATAAAAGTAATATAATCATATATATAGATATATCATCTTTAAACTTTAAGTGAAACTAAAAAAATAACAATTTATTTTTTATATTTTTCACTTTTTGTTTTGGTAGACTTTTTTCTTTATTGTTTTTTTCTTATATATATATATATATATATATATATATATATATATATATATAGAGAGAGAGAGAGAGAGAGAGAGAGAGAGAGAGAGAGAGAGAGAGAGAGAGAGAGAGAGAGAGCGAGGGTGTGTGCGTGCACGGTTGCAAGCCAACCGGACAGGGCGTCCGGTTGGCTTGTGCCGGGTTGCACATAATATTTATTAAAAAAAAAAAAAAGAGGAGCCCATCTCGCTTGGTAGGCCCGCACGCCATGCCTTGCCTGCAGCTCAAGAGAAAAAAAAGAAAAGAAAAGAAAAAAAACAAACTTGTAACTTCCGCTAACCCGGGTCTTCGGAAGTTCGTCGAAAAATCGAGGTTCGAGCTTTCGTGACTCTTAAAAAATGAATTCCAATATCATTTTATTTTTTAAATATCTCTAAATGTTCGGAATAAAACAAATAAACACATTCAAAGCCTTAAAAATCATTTTAATACACACAAAAACAAAGAAAAATACAAAATCAAATCAATTTTTTTTTCTTTTTTTAACTCCGATCTACCTCTTCTAATTGTTTAATGGCTTGAAACCACCATGGACAAACTCATATCTGAAAAATAAAAAGCTATGGCGGATTTTCGTCGGCTAAAGTAGCCTAAATGAGCTTGGCCAACGATCTCTCTCTCCTCCCATCTCTCTCTTCCTTCAGACTTTCTCTCTACCCAAGGACCAAAATGGATGAGAAAATGAACATATGTATCGAAAATATCAAGGATCAAAATATAAAAAAAAAGTTATACATAGTGAAAGTAACGATGAATTATGAGAGAGTAAATAATGAAATGTGAGCGTGTACACGAGTGTTTCAAATAGTCTAGCTATAATGAAATTGTGTTTTTCTTTAGTTTATTAGTTAATATATATATATATATATATATATTATTTACATGGGTCGATTTGCCATGAATATTTATTATTATTATCATCAGGTTTAGTTTCATTTAATTTTTAAATTTTAGTTTAATTTTCCATTTACCATTTTTAGCATAAACACCAAAAACAAAAACATAAATAATTTGAAAAAACAAGATTTAGGGTCCAATTAAAAAAAATGTGAGAGGTGAGGTCCAAATAACATCCAATTAGGTATATAATTAGAAGAGAATGAATATCAAGAGCCTTAATTGATAATGAATTAGAATAGAATTAAAAAAATTAAAAGAAAAGGGACTAAATAATTTCAACAGAAGGGCTGCAGGTGAGAAATAAGAAAGCATTAAGGGACCAAATTGTAATGAACGTGCGGACGACAGGATGAACTTAAATGTTCTTTCTGGACGACCTGTCTTCCGACGCATTTAGTCCAAAGAAAAAGAAAGCTTGGTATGGGCACTATTCTTCTTCTCCAAAAGAAAGCAGACCTTCAAAGTGTTAAAAATGGAAAACACAGAGAAGACAAACGAGGAGGGGCTGACCATTTTTGTCCCGGGACTCTCTCTCCTCCTCCAGTTGGCCTTGCCCCTTGATTCCCACCGTTGCTGTCAACTGTAACCATGAGGCCGTTGACAGCAACCATGAGAGGTAAGACAAGAGAAGGAGCGGGAAATGATCCAAGGGTGAGAAGAAGAAGGGGAGATGGATTTAAAAAGAGGAAGGATTAGTTTTTGAATTAAGGAGAGGTTTTTTTAGACAGTAAGGTTAAAAAAAGAAAAAAGAAAAAAGGAAGAAAAGAAAAAAACAAAACGATTTTGGCCCTCTCTCTAGCGTCTGCCATTTTCTCTTCTTCACTTTGAGAAAGAAAGTGGGAGTTAGCCTTGAACATCTTGTCATCTTCCCTTCTATTTCTACCCATAGAAGCCTCAAGAGGTGATTTTTCTCTTTCATGTTTTTTTCTCTCTCTTAAAATCTATTTCTAGTTTGAAAACAATGGTGCGAAAACAATTTTAGCTTAAACTTAATGGGTATGTGAGGGAGGAGGATGAGTTCTTAGGGGATAGAACCTGCACAGATCAAAAATAGGGGGGCATTTTTTTCGCAAGTTTCGGCCATTAACAAAAAAAACTGCAGCTCTGCATTTCAAAACGGGAGGGAACCCATTTTTAAAAACAATTTGTCCCCGCAGTTATAGGGTCTCTTTATTTTGGTAAATAATAGTAAGATTTTTTGCAATGCAATTGAGTCCCTCATATGTAGGAATTGAGGGTAAAATTGATAGAGTTTTATTCTGGGTTTAGTTTCAGTTTTTATTTATTTTTAGGTCTACTTTAATTATTTAAATCTGAAATTTTTAGGGTTTATAAATATGCTTGTATTTAGCTTTTTTTTTTCCTTTTTTTTTTTTTTTGTAATTTTAAGAGTTCGTTGGCTATTATTTTGACGATTTATTATTATTATTATTTTCCTTTATTTTAATTATTAAAGTGAATTGTTTAAAATTTAATTATTAAGTCTAGTATTTAATTTTTATTAAAATCTAAAATTTTTAGAGTTTGCTCATGTGTTTGTTCTTAGCGTGTGTTTTAAATTTTATAATCGTTGGATTTCATTCGTTATTATTTTTGCAATTTATTTATTTATTTATTCTTCCATTAACTTAATTATTAGTGTGAATTGTTTAAAAATTAATTAGTAGGCC